TATACTAAACAAGTATAAGTGGGTTTTAGAGGGCTAAATAGAGCCTTTAGATTTCATTTTAATTTGATCCGCGACATTAATTGTTATAGCTGAAGCTTGAAATTTTAATTTTTTTAAATAGATAGATTAGGGTTTAGGATTAGTTTTGATACTAAAGGAGTATAAGTAGATTTTTGAAGGGTTTATATTTTTAAATCGAGGTTCCTGGTTTCAAGCTTTAGCCGTAACATTAATTAGTTAATATATCTTTAAAAAAAATGGTTAAAATTACTATAATTTTAACTGGATAATCAATTAATATTTAGTTGTCAACTCGGCCAACTAAATGATTAATCGATTTTTGATTTATATTACTAACCTAAGTAAGTAGTGGTCTCAGCGAATGGCTCAAGAATCTCTACTAGATCATTTATTGTATCCCACTCATCATCAAAAAGTAATATTTTTTTTAAATGTTTAAGATCTCGCTTGGTGTTAGAATCAGATTGGGTTGTAAGTAAGTTTACAAGAAGGCTAATATGGTTTCTTAATTTAAGAAGCCGATTCCAGGCGAGATATAAAGAATTCCATCGCGTAGGGCAATCGGCTATTACATGCAAGTATTCGGAAATTTTTGAAACACCCTAGTAAGTTAGAATATATATATTAAAATTATTATTATTATTATTATTATTATTATTATTATTATATCAATAAATAAATATATATTATATTTTACCTCAAAATTATTATTATTATTATTTTCATCAAAATCATGAACTTCGGAATATTTTTTTTGAACTTCCTCGAGCCTCTCACTTTGCTTAGGTTGTAGAAAAAAGCTAATTAACCGTTTAATTCTTTTAACCAATATTTTAGCTGGAATTAGCCCTTTTGCAACTACAAGTTGTAATGTATGTGACGTGCAATTTAGCCAATTGACGTTTTTCATATTTAATATAGCACTTTTCATGTTACGACCATTATCTGTGGTAATGACAAATGTCTTATCCTGAATTTTCCATTCATCCATGATATTTTCTAATATTTCACTTATACGATCAGCTGTATGAGGATATTTGACATATTTTATTGTAAGGACAAATTCACACAATTTATATTGATTATTTATAAAAGAGCAAGTAACACCTAAATAACCCTGACGGCTGCGAGCTGTCCATAGATCTATACATAATGATACTGAAATTGCTTCATTAATTAATTTTTCTTTGAGGATTGGCAAACTATAGTCATAAGCAATATAAATTATTTTTTTAACAGTTTCCTCACACGGCATTATGAAAGCAGGGTCTAAATTATTAATAAATTTACGAAATGCTTCATTGGTTACAACATAAATAGGCTGTGAATCATTTATAATCCAAGTTGTAAGTAACTGCCTTAATTGAGTTTGCCGTGCCTCAGAATGTTTTTTAATTTTTGATTTATCTTGCTTATTAATCTATTAATATTAATAATTAAAAAACTATTATTATCTAATTAGGAATATTAAAAATATTAAATATTAACTAAGGCCATGCAAAATTAATTGATTGATTTTCATAACCCGGCCAGATCAAAATTCGAAAACTTGTAAAATATTTTTTAATAGCCGGGTGGGATTTAAAAAAAAATTTTATAAAATTTTTGTATATTACAAAAAAAAAGCCAGCCGGCTAGCCGGCCGGCCGGATCCGTTTGAAAATTTCGTGTTATGAAAATCAAGAAATTAAATTTGTGTGGCCTAAAATAGTAATATATTTTAATTACAAACCTTAACTTTTCCAAGTTTAGTAATTTCATGTGCATTCTGGAGATGAACAATTGCATTTCCTGTTGATCCGCTGGTATAAACGTATGATGTATTACAATTAGTATTATCATCATTTTTCTCTTGGCAAACAATTACTGAAATTTCTTCTCCATCTTCGTCTTGAATTGTAGCTTCCTTGAAGTGCTGCCAAATCCAACTGGTCTTGGTACGTTTTCTATCTCCATTTAAAGCCTTCTTTTTTTTATTTGAAGATTTAATTGAATTAGAATTATTGGGATGTTTTTCCGACATTTTGAAACAAATAATACTGAAAACAAAAAAAAACCAAACTGATGAATGACACATTTATATATTTATTTTAACAATTACAATTTAAAATTTATAATGATATTTTATAACTTCTATTCAGACTATAAGAATTGTAAATTACTTTTATTTATGCTAATAGTACTTGATCTTAAAAATATTACATATAATATATTAAAGACTATGTATTTTTTAGAATATAGCAGTAATAATAAACATCTTCGTGATTATGCTTACAGTCTGCGGAAATTAAATATCCAAATTAACAAGGATGCTATTTAAGTCAGTTTAAATATAAGGTACGTAACAGTGTTGTTAAATCTAAATGGGTGGTTCATTGGCAATTATTACATTCTTTTGTCATGTCGTGTAATAAATAATATAACAAAAGGATGTGACAATTATCAATGAACAAACTGTTTGACAACACTGTACGGCATGTATGTACATTAATATCCGGGCCTAAATTGATTTTTAAGTTCCTGAAGCCCTATAATAATAGATAATGACTCATATCAAGGCAGGTACATACATACACGTCGATATATTAATATCCAGTCTAAATATGCAAAGATAAAACATTAAAATTTATTTAAGTCTAGTTTAAATAGGCAGGTACGTACATATGTACATATATTAATATCTGGGTCTAAGTATGCAGAAATTAAACGTTAAAATTAACAAGGATAATAATTAAGTGACGCATATCACAGTTTAAATAGGCAGGTACGTTACATACATGTCGATATATTAATATCCAGTCTAAATATGCAAAGATAAAACATTAAAATTAACAGGGATACTAATTAAGTCTAGTTTAAATAGGCAGGGACGTACGTACATATGTACATATATTAATATCTGGGCAGAAATTAAACGTTAAAATTAACAAAGATAATAATTCCTGAAACTTACATGATTTTCGAATAAAAAAAATGAAATTGTTATGTGATTAATGCATAACAGTTACGGCAGACTTAACTATTCCGTAACGATTTAGTAACAATATTAAAATTAAATATGTTCACAATTCAATTTATATTTTAGTTAATGCATCGTTACAAAATCGTTAAAATGTTGTAGAATTAATTCAAATTTAAATAGATCGCCACAATTATGTTGCAATCATAATTAAATAAAAAATAAATTCTCTCGATTTAGTATTATTAAATACAATTTAAACCCTATAAAATATTAACGAATTCAACCCTAAAGTAACTATTATCTAACTAACCATCCCTAATTACTAAACCGTCATTGTTTTCGAAACGCCATCGCATAACAAACTCTCACCGCATAACAAACGTTTATAACCACACTAAAATCATACTAAAGAAACCAATAACAACCCGACATGACGCACATAATGATGCCATACTAATAATAATCCCAAAAGAGAAGAAACCCAACCCAAAAAGACTCCAACAGTGACGACACGGCACAACAACGAAGGATCCAGTAACGACAACTCCAGCGATGAATGCACTAGTAATGTCGACTCCAGTTCAGACGAAAGCCCTACTAACTACGACACCAGCGACGAAAGCTCTAGTAATGACGACTCCAACGACGATTCCAGCGACGCAAGCAAAATTCGTACCTACAAAAAAAAAAAAAGAATTGGCATTAACAAAACTAGGCACTTACAAAGCCCTCATTCGTTCAAGACCAGGTCTTCAACCTATGCCCATTTCGAGTTTCAACAAATTCGAACCTACAAAAAAGAATTAGTATTAACGAAAAGAAAAAAAATTCAGCAAAAAAAAACCCCCGAATACTTATCTAATACCAGTCCTCATTTGCTCAAGCCCAAGCTTCAACCTATGCCCATTTCGCATTTCAACAAAATTTGAACCTACAAAAAAAGAATTAGTATTAACGAAAAGAAAAACAAAAAAACTCAAACAAAGAAAAAAACTAAGTACTTATCTAATATTAGCCCTCATTCGCTCAAGCTTTTCCAATGTCTAATCTAAGATTATTATATTCAAGATATAGATTGGTGGCATAATTAGTTATTACATATTGAAATTGTAATAATTATAAGTAGTTATAATAAAATTATTTAATAAAATATGTAAAAATACAATTATTACAAATTTTATCTATTTTGTCACCAATCACTAAATTCAAGATCAAAGAAGTTAGGTGCTTCTGCCAATGCTTTTACTCCTTCTGATCCAAGATTATTGTTGTAAAGATACAAAGTTAAGGTGCGTTCTTGAAAGTGCATCAGCTAATGCTTTTCCACCTTCTGATCCAAGATTATTGTTTTGAAGTTCCTAAGTCAGCGTGGTGTTCTTGCAAAGTGCCTTGATTAGATCGTTTATTTGTTCTGATCCATATCTACTACCAGCAAAATATCAAGTTAAAGCAAACTTTTTTTGATCTTTTTTACTGGATAGCTGCTCTTTATAAAGTTCAATGCTTTAAGAAAATTTGCCTTGCTTAAAACGTTCATAGGCTTCTTTTCTCATATCATCAATATTAACTTCTTGAGTTAAACGATTGAATTTGTTGCATCAGTCAAATAAAATGGAGATGATGTCGTGGATTTACAGGTTCGGTAGTATATTCTTGACGACTTGAGGAAATATCGCTATTTTGAGTTGATGCGCCAATGAGATGTTCGTAATATCGAGTGAAATTACAGGTTCGGATAGTCTTGATAACATGAGAAAATATACTATTCTGAGTTGATGCGGTTCGGTTGGATAATCTTGACGACTTGAGGAAATATTTTGACCAATGGGATAGTGTTGACTCAAAATTTCTTAGGATTAAGCTGTTTTAAAGTATCGAGAGCTCCTTTTTTTTCTGGACAATTAGCAGGATCACTGTCCCAACAACGTTTGTAAAGTTCGATATATTGAATGATGTACCTCCTATAGGTTTTTCCCTATTTCCTTAGAAAATGCCAACAATCATTTCATTTGTTAAGTGTTGGAATGGCGTTCCGCTTGAAATTTCCCAAATTATTCCAACACTATAGATATCTGACTTCTTGTCACACTTATATCCTCGCTTAAAAAGGCACTGAGGTTCGACGTATGCCCAGGTCTTCAACTATACCCATTTCACGTTTCAACAAAATTCGAACCTGCAAAAAAAAGAATTAATATTAAACGAACCTACAAAAGAATTAGTCTTAACGAAATGAAAAGGACAAAAAATTCAACAAAGAAAACAAAAAAACTGAGTATATATCTAATACCAGCCCTCATTCGTATCTTCAACCTATGCCCATTTTAAAATTCGAACCCACAAAAAAGAAGAAAAAAATTAATGTTAACGAAAAGAAAAAACAAGAAATTCAACAAAGAAAAAAAAAATATACTCATGCCAGCCCTCATTCTCTCAAACCCAGGCCATTTCACGCTTCGAGCCTATGAAAAAGAGAAGATCGCTGATTGGAATTCATTTTTATTGGCAAAGTACTGTTACATAAATTTTAGATCAGAATAGTTACACCGTTCTGCTTGATCTGGGCTCTAACGCTAATGTTATCTAACAATAGATATGGTATTCATTTATCAAAAAGTAGCAAAATGGGATGAAAAGACATAAGGCATCTTTATGTATTATCGAAGAAGATAGCTGCGCGATATTGTCATGCAAAACCAGAAACGGAGGATATAAGTGATAGAACTCATTTTTAAAGAAATATATATTTAATTTTTTTTAAATGTTATATAATATAGTAACCGGTAACTGTTATAATGATAATTATTATAATAGTTATAACGGTAACCGTTATAACCGTTATAATAATGACTTTATAATAACCGTTATAACGGTAACCGTTATCATGTGATAACGGTAACTGTTATAATAATGCCTTTATAATGACCGTTATAACGGTAACCGTTATCATGTGATAACGGTAACCGTTATAATAATGCCTTTATAATGACCGTTATAACGGTAACCGTTATTTTATTATAACGATAATGCATACTCCTGCATTAATACTGTATCCCTTACATAATCCGAATAACTTTTTGGATAATCCGGGTTATCCATCCATTAATCCATCTTATCCAATATCCATTAAATATCGGATATCCAATAGATAAATGGATAAACGGTTAATGGATAGAAACTCTACTTTAGATCATGTGATGGATATGGCTTTAGAACTATATCAACTGCATCTTCACATTTTTTGTGCAGTCATGTAATATCATGCATCTATTTTTACCAATAAACAAAAAATTAAAATAATAAAACCTAAACATTAGATTAGTGTTAGGGTGAGATTAGAGCATATTTAATACCAAAATTTAATGAAAATTTTTTTTGTTAATATGCAAAAGGTAGTTTTCTATGTAGATTTTCTAGTTAAAAGTGATTTTTGATAAAATTAACATTTATTTTGAATTTTTCTAATTGTGCTATATTACATCTGATATTGACATCTAATTGGCTGCGCAGAATTTTTTGGAGGTGTTTTTGGTACAGTTTGGCTTTAGATGACCCCTAATTTGAACAGTCTCTTTAGACCTTATACTTGTCTTTACTCTAATTTTAGACTATGCTTAATTTTTTAATTTATGCAAATTTGTTTTAATTAATGCATTGCACAGATTTGCAAATCTATATCTCTAAGATTTAGCTGCATAGGTGAATTTTTTGGAGGTTTGGAATTTTCTAAAATCTAACAATTATAGCACATTAACAGAAACTCCAAATACGGGCCTGTGCAGGCTGGCAGCCTGTGTAAATTCATAAAGTCTTCAATTTACCAATCCCTAGTATTAATGAACTACTTATATATGCATATATAGTATTTAATTAAAGTTCTTAACAATGAAATATTAAAAGAAAAAATCTCAACAATCTAAAAATAAATTTATTAAATATTTAGATAGGTTTGCTTTTATATAAACAATATTAATATATAGATAAATGCTACGAAAAGAAAACCAGATTTATGCTTTGAATTTTTATGACTGAATTTACTTATTTTGAAGTTCCAAAAGCTGATAATCTAGTTTTCTTTAATAGTATCTAAATACAAACAAAAGATTATTACTTATTTATTGCTTTTGCATATTTTTAAGTAAGATAAATGCTGTGTTTAATAGCTATATACAAAATATTTTGATTTACTAATGTAGTCAGATTTTTTAAAGTCTTAGAAGGTTTGAAATTTGCTGAGTTTTGACTTTTCAAGAGTTTCAATATTAGGCCAAACCAATTTAAGTCAGTGGTTTATGGTACATCCTTATTATAAAAGGAGGCAGGTTGAAAAGAAATGTGACAAAAATCAGGTAATTTTTTAGGAGGGGAAGAGAGGTAAAAATTTTAAAATTATATATAAGGACCTGATCAAATTATATATTAAGAGGGGGAGGGTGTATGCTTCTGATAAAAAAAAATTAGGTGATAAATGACACTGCCTAAAGAGTTTACTAACTTTTTTTTCTGAAATAATCCATGATATAATAAAAGGTTTTCAAAATTTTCCGCATATATTGTGAGGGAGAAAGTCAAAAGTGATAATGTAAACCAATAAATTAAATTGGTCTGGCCTTACCAGAGGTAATTGAATATAAGAAAAATACTCTATATTTATATGTCAGAAGCTTAAGCAACCAATATTTAGTAAAGTATCTGTGGTACTGATTATTAAACTACTATTGGTGTGAATTGCAATTCTTGAATGTGTAACAGGTTTGTAGTGCTGTCAAAATTTTTTAAAGTTGGTTTAAGTTAAAGTTAGAGCTTTTATTATGGTTAGAGGTAATGTTGACAGGCAAAACTATTTTTGGCAAATGGTGAAAGATGAAACTAAACCTGGCGAAAGATGAAACTAGGTGAAACTTTGGTAAAACCAAGTTATAAATAATTACTTGCACTTTCATATATTAATTACTATTCTTTCTAAAGAATTTAATTCACCAATAATTATGATCTGAAACTAAATACAGTAATAGTAAAAATCAAAATCGATTATTACAATTTGCAAAAAGATGTAACCCCTACAAATCATTGTATATCATATAAAATCACAGGAATTAGGATATTTTTCTATTCTAAGAAAATTCTACAGATTGGTAAACAATCTAGAATCTCAGAAATTCACCACTATAGTTATCACAAATTGTGGAGTCACACCTTTTTGCAAGCCAAAAATCATAATCAATAAACAAATTTATTGATTATTTTCAAAAAAAAATACTGATTACTGATACAATAATTAATAGTTACTATACTGTTAAACTTTTATTTGACTTAATTTATTTATATCAATATTCATATCAATATTCATATCAATATTCATATCAATATTCATATCAATTTAACAATCTATATATTTTCCAAATTGCATTACACTCTTTACAAACATGTCAAACTTTCTATTTAGTAACAAAATACAATACTGTATGCAAAATTTGTAATTTATTTAATACATTATTATCTGATGATGCTGAACTTATTTGTTAAAGTTAGGATTTAGGGTTAGTGTTTATAATAAAAGGTATAAGTGTATATGTTGATTTTAGTAATGATTATATTTTCAAATCAGACACCAAATTCAGTATCATCCATCTTAGTATCATTGTCATTTATTATCACATTACAGCATTAACAGTTAAAATAATATTATATTATGCAACTTTCTTAATACAAAATATATCATCATTTTATATAGATTATTTTTCAATTGATGGATGTTAAAAAATATTAATCAACAACACTTTTCAACTCTCTCCAACGATCACTCATACCAAACTTACAGCAAACGAAAACAGAAACTTGTTAGAGAAAAGTAGAAGAGACAACTACAAATAATAGTTTTTACAGAGGTTAAGGTTTTCTTTTTTCTCTCAGACTCCTCTGTATATTCAGCATGCAAGTTAAAAGCATTTCTGTACAAGATAACTGGTGAGAAGGTGTTGGTGCCCTTGTATAGAAAATTTTAATAGAAGCTCTTCTTCTGCTGATGAAGTTAAAGATAGTTGGTCTAAGAAGAACAACAAGCAAGTATTCAATACACTCACTACTGAAGTTTAAGGATACCTGCAAACTGAAATCCTACAGCAAACTCCACTCTTGGACTTTTCAAAATTTTTACCAAAAAGTAAGAAAAATAGCATACCCCCATCGATTGATTGACAACAACAATCACTGTTAAAAAAGGAAAGTCACATATAGGAGTAAATATCTACTTTTGGATAATAGCGTTGCATCGGTTACTTCAAGAGGTTACGGTGTTTACACCAAGATCTACAGAAGCTGAAAAAGCATAGATTGCTTAATTTTGTCCAGGAACAAGTACTAGCATGAGAATATGTTGCAAGATACTACACCGAACTCGGTGGGACCACAAGAGAAATTTCGGACTTGGCCTCTACTCAAGAATAGATATTTTATATATTTTAATATAGATAATAAGTAACTAGCGTAGAGTTTAGACTAGATTATTTAGTAGTCTATATAATTTTTACAATCCAGCATGGGTTTAATAGTGCTATCTTTGTTTTCTTTTCTTTTATTTTTTTTCTTTTATATGTTTTTGGTTTTATTTGTTTAGATGGATCGAATTTGGATACTGAGATATCACCTCTTTTTTTTTCTTTGCCCTTTGTTTTGTATTTGTATTTCGTAAAAGATGATACTGATAGACATGTGGCACCAGCCAATAATCAAAGGATTCATGCCTCTAGGAAGTTAGAGGCCCGGAGGGAGGCAAACAGCCACTAGGCAATGTCGCACCTGGGCTTTAAGCCGAGTGAGTTACTTGTTGCGGTTAAAGAAGGATTAGCTATAGTTAAATTCTTGTAATTTTACTTGGTTACCATCTTAATAAAACAGTAGCAGGACATGCCAAAAAATAATAATAATAATAATAATAATAATCATAGTCAACTAATTGGTCAAGTAAGATTTTGTGTTTAGTTATATTTATAAATTTAATTGTTGTTATTTCATGCTGTTTTAATTCTATTTTAATTATTTAATTCTAATATATATTAAAAATTTTAGATCTGCTATAATTTAGTAGAATAATTTTCTATAATAAAATATTATTTTTTTTGAATATTAATTGTAAGATTATATTTTTATATTTATTGAAATTTAATTTGATTTTCTTACAATAAAAAGAATATATTTAAACTCTATATTATAAAATAACAAGAAAAGAAACTCAGACTAGTTTATCTGCAGCCTAAACCAATAATAATATATTATTATAGTACTAATTTTATAGTAATTAATATGTAATTTGTAGTTAATATAAGCTGCTAATTTTAGTAATTTAATATATTTTTTATTTTTATAAGCTTTAATTAGTTAAACTTGTTTTTTATCTATTAAAGTTTCTAATCTTTGTAATAAAATATTAAGGTAGTTAAATATTGTAATTATTTTAGTTTTAGTTGCTTATACTAGTTTGATATAATAATATCTATTTATAAATATAGATATAATTAGGTATATTAAGTTGTTTTGACTACTAAATAATATATATAGATATGCTTGTAAATTTTTAGTAAAAAGATTCTTATTCTAAGTGTTCTAAAATGTTATATTTATGATACTCTATTTATACAAATATATTTTTAATAATTAATAGAATATTAATATCAAATATTGTTTTAATAGTATTGTTTTATAATAGAATAATATTAAATATCACAGGTTGCTATATTGCAGATTAATATAATTGACCAATTAGATGACAGAGTCTTGTATAACAAAAATAAATAAAAAAATTAGAAAAATTTAAGAAAAAAGTCAAAATTTTAAATATCTTAAAATTTTATTATATCTTTATTATATCAAAGCATATATATATATTTAACTATCTAAATTGTAGATTTGACATATTTCAGCTACTTCTAAGGATGTTTAAAAATAGTTTGCTACACTAGTTAAGAATAATGCCATACTGGGAGTTGCACCAGGCTAGCTATAGAACTATAATGGCTTCACTTTATTTATAATAAGTTTTTTATAATAACAGACCAAGTGTATTTTTTTTAGTTTACACTCACCTCTTTACTAATCTTATTTTCTTTCTTTTAAACCTTTCTCTTAGTTTGCTTTTGACTTTAACTATTTTTATAATATTCAAATCTGCATCCTTTAAGTTGATAATTAGTTTTTTAATTTTGTTCTCTTTTTTTTATACTAATTCTATTTTTTTCTATTAATTAATAAGTATACATCT